GAGTGATAAAAGTGGAAGTGTAACAATGCTAAGTGCACTGAAATGAAGTAAGAAATGATGCTAAATCATTCAAACAACACAAGTATGACATGTTAGGACCCTAAGGCATGGAAGCTAGCAAAGAGGACTACAAAGAAGGCATGTAATGCATGGCACAAATGCATGAACTAAGCATGGACAGAGCTCAAGTAGGTCAAAATAAGGACCCAAACATGCTGAGATGATGGCTCAAATACCTAGGCATGCAAGCATACAAGCTAAGCCATAAACTAGGCAATAATGCACAACACTTAAAGGCATTCAAAGCATGAATGAAGTGAGGACATGGCAAGTCTATATGCTCTGAAATCAAGTATTAAATGATGCCAAATCATCCAAATAGCTCAAAGATAGCATGCGTGAAGCATCGAAACACAAAGCTAGCAAGGCCAATTGCACTATAGCTATACAAAGCATGAGGCATATGACAAAGGAAACCCAAAACAGTCCTAGAACATGTTAAAATTAGTCTAAAACATGTACGGATGGAAGCTAAAATGTGCTATCATGAAGGGGCATAAGACATGGAATATGTAAGGCAAATAGGGTGAATTACACTACACCTATTAGGACCAAACATGATATGACTTAAGAACCAAAAATCAGAGTTATATTATGGCAAAATAACCCCAAATAATCACTGAAATGATGGCTCGCAAGCTATGGCATGAATGCATACACAATGGCTCACGTTAAGGCATAAAGGACCAACCCTCCAACGCATTGATTGAGTGACAAATGTGAATGTATGGCCATGAAAAATGGACTGAAATCACATTATGAATGATGCCAAATCATTGAAATAAGCCAAGTAGAGCATGCCAGATGACTCAATACACAAAGCTTACAAGCAAGATTGAACCAAAGCTATGCAAAACAAGTCATGAATGACCAAGACAACTAAAATCAGACCGCAAGCATACCAAAACATAGATAAAAGCTTCTTGAAGTCAAGCCAAAAGCATGCTAAAAAGACATGTTACAACATGACGCATGTTAGGCTATTTCATGGGATTGCATGGCAAGTATATGGAGCATGCAAAGGCTAACCAAACCAAACCTAAATAGAGGTATGGCATGATAAAATAAGCCCAAGAACATGCTGAAATGGACATAACATAGGCTAAAATGACATGCCACTTCAAGGAGCATACAAGGCTAGTGTGTGTGATTTACACTACAAGTGTATAAGGCATGCAAGAGCCAAACAAACCAAGCAAAAAAAGATCTAAGGCATGTTAAAACTACACCAAAAATCTACTGAGATGGCCCAAAAACAAGGCCAAACAAGGCCTAAAAGGGGGTAAACAACCCCAAACGAAAAAGTGACCTTAAACAAACTTTTTAAGCATGCCAAAATAGAACTTTTTTCCAGTTAAGAGCTAAGCTTCAAACAGTATGCAAATAAGGCTAAAAGCTTAAGCAAAAACGGGGATTTAAGGGTTGGAAACTCACCCTTGATGACCCTCTTCAAAGCTGCAACTCCAGCAACCTCTTTGAACCCGAACCAGTCCAAAAACTCCAGAAACAACTCCTAGGTGCCTCAGCAACAAAAGGATGATGTTTGGAGAGGAGGTTGTGTGCACAAAAGTGTGAAGAATGGTCACTTTAAGGTACAAAACAAGAGGAAAATGGAGGATTATAGATATAGATGATATGTATAGCTCAAGTCCAAAATTCTGAACCCCAAGAAGGGAGAGAGGCCTCCCCTCTTCTAGAGAAACAACTCTCAAGCTTCTTAGACAAGCTAAGAGCTTGTTTAAATCCCTCCATACGCGTGTATGGAGGATACAGTCTGTGCCCTCCAGCTGGCATCCACAGACTTTGCAAAATCTACAGGAAGGCCGCCGACCAGAAAAAGTGGTTGGCCTTTTATTTTTACTGGTTGGCCGACCAGTTTTTCTGGTTTCCCAAAAAAAAAGTGGTCAGCTAGGGTAATTGGTGGTCTCCACACTGAAAGCAAGCCAATGGTGTGGTGGGAGACCAGTAAATGTGGCCCAAAGACCAAGAAAACTAGTTTTCCGACCAGAAAATCGGCTGGCGGGAGAAAAAGTGGTCTCCAAGGAGAAAAAGTGGTCTCCCACCCTTATACCACCTTCCAAACAAAGAAAACAAGGTTTGTACCAAAAACAAACCAAAACGGATGCAAGACGAGAGTTCGTGAGGCAAAGCGCGCAGCCAGGAGCCTCGAAAACTGGCTGTTGAGCACCAAAAGTGGCGTACGACCACAAAAGTGGTCTCCCGGACCACAGTGCCCCTCTGGACAGAGGAAACAAGGTGTGGTTCAAAAATCAAGCCAAACGGAGAACGTTAAGCGGTCCCGAGACAAGGCACACGGCCGAAGGCTCCAAAAACCGGAAACTAATCTCCAAACGGGAAAAGTGGCCTACGACCACGAAAAGTAGTCTACGACCACAGAGAGATAGTCTACAAGACCTCTCCCTCCCTCCGAAAAGGGAAGCAAGGCTGGGTCCGCAAACCGAGCCGAAGCATAAAGAGTTCAGAGGCCCGGAGGCAAGGCTCTCAGCCAAAACTCCGGAGACTCGAAACGAGCATAACATGCACCACCACCAAGCGCTCAATCGATGACATCTGAGTCTTAAGGTCGGCCAAAAATGGGGTGTCTACATTTATATAGAACTCCTTGCTTGTTTTCCAATATGGTTTCATATAGCTCCTGTGCTGCCAAGTTTCCTTTTAGCATTGCCCAAGGTGGGGGACCATCTGATAATTGTCAATGGGTGCATATACTCATTGTAGCCATGCTGATAACAAACCAGATTCCTCTAGTTCAACTGTTTCCGTGATTCTAGGTGTAGGGGACCAACTATGGTGGCAACTTGCACATGCATATACTCACAACTTCCATGTTTCTCTAAGAGGTTCCCTCAGCTCGGTACCGTTATGCCTTGGCTCGATCCTTTGTGAGGCTACCGTTGGAATGGGCTGGCCCTTTCAGATATTTTTGTATGGACTCGACCCATTTTGGTTGGGATGATGGGTTCGACCCATCAGTTTGGCCCATAGAATAAGTCCTGCAGCTCGGCCCTAGCCCAGTATAGCAGTTGGACTGGCCTTTCCACTGCGAGTTGGGCCCAAGTGCTTGAGGACTTGGGTGGACTGTTAGTAATGGAGTTGGGCTTAGTTGGGTTGCCCACATGTTCATCTGACCCATTTGGATTTGAGCTTAGGGGATTGGACCGGCCCAAGGCTTGGGTCCGACCCATTTCTTATTGAAGCCCTTCAACCACCATCTCCTATTCCTATCTATCCATTTGAAACCTCATCATTTGGTTTACACCCACTTTACTTGACTTCCTTTGAGGTGGCTTCCTTTTCCGGTATACAAGATGCAACCACGTTAAATACGTTGATGAAGATGAAGGTACATTGGGAACAACATTAACAATACGAGTAACAATACCTTTACAGTTTCTTCTTTTTTTACCTGTTCCACTCATTTGTATTAGCTCCTTGGTTTTTAGGCTTCCACTCTTACTTGGCATTACAAGGAGCTTGAGACTTAGGTTTGCTTGGGATGTTCTTGTAGAATGGCCAAGAATTTTACAAACCTCACAAGCTTAACTACATACTTCTCTTAGTGTGAGTTCACCGTTTATATTTATCTATTCGAATGAGAAGTTTTTTGTGATTACAAACAACATAAAGTTCCTAGCTACTACTATTTATTTATTAAAATTGTCACTTTTATTATATAACATTGCATAAGTAGATGCAGTAGCTGATAGATAGATAGTATTTCAATGCAGGTTCATCCAAAGGATGATGTCCCACAATCTAAGTGAGTGATTGGGCACAATGGAATGCCAAGATCAAAGATTCCAGTGCTATCCTCAGATTCACATTTTTTTATTCAAGTTCTAACCCCTAATTACCTCTTAAAGCTGCTGCATTCAATTCTAAGTGATTGAATTTAACTGTTATAGAAAGATTTGCCAATTGCGAAATGTTAAGATTTTGGTCTATATTACAGATATGTTGTGGTGATGAGCCAAAAAATACTGTGGCATTTTAATCACTCTTACTAGTTATAAAACACTAAGGTAGCTTAGGATATCAAAAAACCTTGGAACACTGGATTTGTGACTTTTGTCTTGAAACACTTGGGTCCAGCAAACTCCAACTTATTGTCAACATTCAGAATGGTTAGTTTCGCTTTTGTCGCTTAATTGATCATCATTTTTTCTATTTCATTTTTAAAGTATTGATTTCATCTATTTAGTCTGTTGTCTTTAATTTAAGCTAAAGTGGGCTTATTTTATTTCTAAATTTGAATAACTTGATTAATACAACCAAACACTCATTTTTCTTACCAACTATTTGGAAACAAGAGGGATGTATGTTTGGTTGCAAGTTGTAAATTGTTTAATAAAGTGCGAGTAAAAGAACGAGTGTTTGTATGATTTGAATCTTTGACCATTACTGATTTGGTGGTGGCTATCTCCAATTGGAGTTTATGAACTGAAATTAAAAATTATAGGGACTGCATAGATGAAATTAGGGCAAATTACGACGGTAGTCCATATATTTTTATCATTTGTATCATTTTAGTCTATGTAATTTTAATTGACTCAATTTTGACCTTAAGTTTATAATTTTGTCTTAATTTGGTCAAATTGGTTACAACCTTTACCAATTTTTTGTTTTTGTTTTTTTTTGTTTTTTTTTTTTTTTAAATATGCTCATACGTGACATTTGTTATATTTTTAAGGGTAAAATTATAAACTTACCGAACTCAGTAAGTTAACCTTAATCAATTTAATGATAATTTTTCTTAAAATACACTAACGATGATATCAATTAGATTAAATTGACACAAAATCTAAATTTAATGATCAAAATTGAGTCAATTGAAAGTATGGGATCAAAATGACACAAGTGGTAAAATATAGGGACCATTGATATAATTTACCCATGCAATTAATATTTTACTAAAGAAGTAAAAAAAAAATACATTTTTTTTCCAAAACTACAACTTGGCAAAACAAGTTGCGATTGTTGTAACCATATCAACCTTCAAGATATCAACATTTTCTGTGACAATAGTTGACCTATCACCATCATTTAATTCAAGTCAAACCAGGAACTTTACATTGAATCACTTAATGAACTGACAAAAAGGGTTTTTTTTTTTTAAAAAAAAGAAAAAAACTTATCCAAAATTTTAAAATTTAGGGTGTATATTTAAAAATTCTCAGTAGTTTTCTGATTCTATTTTGGGGTATGTAGAGCTAAGAGAAAATTATTGATGCATCCACGCACCATTTTCAACTCAAAACCCCACCATTTTGGCAATTAGGTTCTCCCATCTCACTATCACTAACAAATACAAGATGATCACCATCTCTAATCAACTCTATATCATCAATTTCAGCTCCATCCTTGGTTAGAACTTTAGTAACCAACAATCCAAATTTTTTAGCACCAATCTCAAGTAGCTCTTGAAAACTCTGTGGAAGTAGCACAAGCTTTCCTTTAACATCTCCCTTTTCCAGGCAACTAACGGTCACTCTTGTAGGACAATCTCTATCAGTCTCAACACATTTAGTCTGATCTATAGATGAAAGCAAGTCATTGTTGTTCCCTCCATCGGCTGCTGACATAATCCCAAATAAGGAATTGTGAAAGTTACTAGTTCTACGCCTTGGACGGGATTGCCTCCATGTCCCTTCGATTACTCCGCCTGATGAGCCATCCCGGGACATCGAATAGATCGTTGGTTCACTTGTAAATCTCCCAAGTACCTTATTTTCACCTTTTTGTTCTGGTATGACAACGAAAGATTGAGTTTTGACCTCTTTATTGGATTGGAAAAGGGTTTTTATGTCTTCATGTCCTTGCTGGTCTGCTAGGTCTCTAGGGGTCCAACCATGGATGTCTGGTTTGTCAATGTTAGCTCCTTGGTCTAATAAGAATTTCACTAATTCGGTGTTTCCTTCACAAACTGCTACATGAAGAGCAGTGGATCCATTGCTCTTTGGAAGCGTTACATCCCCTCCGTGATAAAGAATTTTTTTGAGCAACTCTAAGTTGTTTTGCTTCGTGGCAGTGCATGAAAATTGGCCCACATCGCCAGATGATATGGTGGCACCGTTATCTACTAGTATCTTGACCACTGGTTCATGATCAGCCATCATTGCCTCCCATATTGGCACATTGCCTTCTAAATCTGTAAAGATGTAGACATAGTTGACTCTTAGCATATAATTAATGAATAAGTTGTCAATCTTGATAGCAATTTGTGCATGGTCAAGCGATCCAATAAAAAATTGTTCTAGCACAACATTTAAAAATAAAAACAAAAAAAAAAGAAAAAAAGTGCAACATAATGACTGGGAGATGGAGGCAGATATTGTAGTTGAAAAAATTGATACAGAAAGTGAATTGAATAACTGAAGATTGACCACACAAGTGTCGGTCCATATAATAAGTGAACTAATAGTTATAATTATCACTATCTGATAGTGTGAGTTCAAATACAATATTATTTAAGAAAGTCAATGGACACGAAGAACTTTTGATGTATGCATATTTTAATCCTCTTTGGCTTACCATTTCTGTGACCTAATCTATACACAACTTATGATGAGCCAACCTTCACATATTGGAAAAGTTTAAAATTAAAGGAGGGTCAATTTGTGCATTATCGGTATATAAATTAAGAAATTTATGGAATGCGATAACCAAATCCCCTAGTCTGACTCCCACAAGATCCTTTTGGATAAGATAAAAAAAGCTCAACTGAAGATCCAAGAAAAAAGTCAGTGATTCCAACACAAATTTGTAATTTCTATCCCAAATAGGAAAGAGCAAACTGATATGCTATATTTCTGAAGTGTACAGGGAGAAAATATTCTATGCTTCTGTACTCCTCACGTCCAAGCTTTGTGTTTTTCCTATCAACGTCGTCGTACCTGAAAACACAGTGACAATGAGCTATCCGGCTAGTGTGTTGCCGGAAAACCCCTTCCGATGATCAAGTTAGCACTCACATAGAGAGAAGAAGACAAAAGAGAAGATAGCTTTGTATCAAAACATTTCAAACTTGTTGCATGAAGGCGCTGCACGGTTTATATAGTTTGTGTGCGCACTACCTTGCTCGTCCTCTCCTGGGCACGTGAATGTATTAGCCTCTCTTTGTCTTACACGTGTGTGTGCGACAATACTGCCAAACAGTATCGACAAAACAACCAAATGGTATTGGCGTGCATGAACAGTGGGTTCCCTCCTCTGCCCTTCAATTGGGCCACGTGGCGGCTATTGCCTAGCTATTTGCCATCTGGTGCGTTACTGTTTACTCTGAGCAGCTTCTATTAATTGGCCTAGCTCCGAGATGCCCAACAGGTCAACTCCAGCACGGCCAGGCCAGTTAAACTTGCCCCAGTTCTGTCATGACCCAAATCTTCTTGGACCATTACAATGCTGCAAGATCAGCCCGGTCTATAAGTAAAACACTTGATCAGCCAAGGTAGTGGAGCTCGATTAACCCTTGGTGGATCCAATCCATTTCAATCTCATCTAGCTAACCGTAAAGCAATGGGCCGAGTTCGGCCCATAACGTTCATAGGTCGGCCATTTTTCACGGTCAAAACTCCCCTCCTAATTGCCCCTTAATCTGTTATGCTTCAGCATAAACCAAATTATCACAAATGGCCGAGCTAAATACCTTGCCCAGCTAGATGAACTACACGGTGTGAACTTGACGTCTCAAGGAGCTCGGTAGGAATCTCATGCCACTAGGCGTTCGATGCCAATTCCACGCCAGAAGTAACACGGTCTATCCCACTACACTAACACAACGTCTTCTTAGGGGGACATGCATTGCTATGTAATGATGAAGGGTGTGATTACCCATGAGAGCTTTCAAATTTTTGGCGCCCCTTCGAGGGTGAGCTACATATTTCGCCGCCCTCTTCCCTATTTCTCCACCGTTCATCATCCATTTACAGACTATATACCTTGCAAACCAGAGCGTACTGTCATCTACTCCTTGCATTTAATGCTCAACTCGAAGCATTTCAATCAAATATTCCATTTCCTTTTCATCGTCGGAGCATTTCCCGCCGATCAGAGTGCCATTTGGAGCTTTATTCCAACAAACGCCCCATTCGAGTAAGTGTTCTTCATCGCCCTTCAATATTCTTCACTGTTCTTGGGCTTTTATTGTATTATTCGCACTCAAAACATGATAACAACATCAAATCCCACTGAAAACATATTTTCACAGGGGTTTCAAACCACCCCTAGTGCTTAAATGGCCCCCAGGCCTTGGTTTCCGCTTGCACAACTCATCCTCTGGGATGAACACAGAATAAACTGGGCTAAACCCGACAAAAATCAACTTTTAAATCCAAAATCACAATTTGGCCGAGCAAATTTTATGTTGGTCACATATAAAGAACAAACCGAGCTAGGAATCAAAGAAACTTAGGGGGCCATAAGACTGAGCCAAATCTGCTTCGCTCGTGGCCAAGATAAGGCCCAGTTCACTACGCGGCCAAGAAACAATTCGGCTTATAATTAACCCAGCTAATACCCAGCTCCTCTGCATTGACCGAGTTAAAACTCCAGCTCGTTTAATGACCAAGCTGCCACTTGCACTTAAACTTGATTTTCCACTTATGTAGAATCCTAGGAGACCAGGTACACCAACATAAGCGAACTCAAAGGCCGAGCAGTTGCTACATAGTTTTGACAAACACACTTTGTTTAGCAGATTACAATGGCCTACATGAGGCAATACTGTTTCCTGGTAAACACACCAGGTGCCCTAACTGAGTTTCGCCAGGAGTATTCCCAGCCAACGTACACTTCGAGCTCGACAAGGAAGGGGCAATCCTTTGGGATAGATTAGACTCTTGCCTCTTCACCGTGCTATCTATCATTGAACGGGGGCTTCATTTTCCAGTACAACCATTGATGTGCGAGTTCTTAAGACGCACCGGGTTGTGCCATACATAAGTCTGCACAAACACTTTCTGTATAATAAATGGAGTCGCCGAGCTAAATCATCGACTTGGGTTGAACTTAGGCCTGGTCGAGATACTTCGGAAATACACGCTCGATCACACCAGCGACGGTTTTAACTGGTACCTAAAAGTGAGACCAAGCAGAGAGCGTCTAGTGACTGGCATGCCTCATAAGATCTTCACGATGATAATTTTTTTTGGGTAACCGACAACTACAAACTATCGACATGCCCGGTTGGTACATTAGTAGGGACAAGGGCTCAACAAGTAAGCCAAATTTCAAATACAATCAATTTCATTTTGGTCTTATTTTGCTGAGCTAACAGACTTCCTTTTGTAGGTATCGTCGTGCTGCAAGCATTATATTTACGCCTTGATGAAGTAGCTGTGAGAACCGCGCTGTGATATAAAAACCACAGCTGCCACGACTTACTCGATTATGTACCAAGCTATCGATATTTGGCCAAAAGAAAGAGAAAGGTCATAGACTTCTTGTCCGAACCTTCTCCCCCTCCAAATCCAAGTCTTTCAGATGTCCCACTCATTCGTCTAACCGAGGAAGAAATGATGGTAAAAAGGAACATAATCAAGAATCTCATCACAACCACCTTTCAAGAACTGTCAAGCGGCATACTTCCTCCCGCCCCAATGACTAGTGAAGGTTTAGTAATCGTGCTAGCCTTGGCCTCTTCCGTCGTTCAACCTTTCCACACACAATACCATTGGGCTGGCAAACGGGCTCACTCAGCTAATCCTTCAGCCGAGCTTGTGGCCAAGCTAAATAGTGAACACGCAGTGGAGGTTGAGCCAGCTCTTGCCTGGCAGCTAAAGTTGAGGCACCAGGGTAAGGACATTTCAGCCAAGGTTGATAAAGAGCATCTCCTCGCCTTTGACTTGTCCACATCCTTACTGCTGCCAGATGACATGCTCGGGACCGACCATATGTCAGACACCTGGATGGTTAAATCCGCAATGAAGTCTATGACCAAGTTAAGTGTTGCACCTAAAATCAGTTAATTGTTTGCTTGGTTTTGCATTCTAATCATTTTCCACAATGCAGGCAATCCAGAAAACCCACATGGTCATGGAACGTATGATCAACCTAAAGTAGAAGGTGGTTGACACCACTGCACAGGGAAAGTACTTTAAGGCTGACCTCCAGCGATCCAAAGCTTCTCTCGAGCTGGCCAATACAGAGAACGCCCAGCTTGTCGGTCAGCTTTCCATCGCCGAGTAGGAGAGGGATGCGACGTGTGTCGAGCTCGAGGTGCTGAAGAATGAACAGTTTGTCACTGTGAAGGCGGTGAAGACCAAGGCTTCAAGGACGCTGAGGAAAGCTACACCAAGCAAGTCAAGGCCACTAAAGACATCTTCTTCCAATCCAGCTAGAAGGCTGCCTGTGAGAAACTTGGTCACGGTCCTTCGCCCGAGGTGTTCACTACTCCTCCCCCCCACTTCCTGTCAAGCTACATGGTTTCGTACGCCAAGAATGTCTTTAATGCCTTACAGGAAGAGAAAATCGAGGAGGGGGTATAGGCTGCACTGGCCAAACTCTGCGAGGATGAATTCATGGTTACAACTGAGCAAGAGAGAACTGCTGTAACCGAGCAAGAAAGGGCTACTGCTGGCGACGCCTTCGTGGATAACTTGTCTCCCCTCGTTTTACTTTGTGCAATGACACCTCAGTAAGGAACTATAATCTAAACTTAATCAGCTCGGCAATGAATTGTGGATTGAACACAACTTGACTTGTCCTACAGAGAAAAATTAGCTAGGCACGAGGCTATGAATTGAACAAAATATCAAATCATTTTGCCAAGCAAAACCATCATGGCAAGGAGCTATGAGTTGAACAAAACACCAACTCATTTTGCCGAGCAAAAACCAACTTGACAAGAAGCTATGAGTTGAACAAAACACCAACTCATTCTGTCGAGCAAAACCATCTTGGAAAGGAGCTACAAATTGAACAAAACACTAAGTCATTTTATCGAGAAAAACTAGTTCGGCAAAGCAATATGAGTTGAACAAAACATCAACATATCTTGTCGAGCAAAACCAGCTCGGCAAGGAACAATGAGTTGATCAAAACATAAACTCATTTTGCCGAGCAAATACCAACTCTGCAAAGAACCCTGAGTTGAATAAGTCATTAACCTGTCTTGTTGAGCTAAACCAGCTCGGCAATCTGTTGCCACTT